CTTTACTGCAAGAATTTCTCAGTTCCTGTTCTTCCTCTGATGTTGTAAAGCCATAAAAGAGTAAGCTTCAATAAACAAGTACTAGTTAACAAGGCTTTGTTTGTGTGTCCTGCAAGCCAAGTAATTAAGTGCTGGAGACCTCTTAAAAGAAGCAGTATTATTTTTAAGAGTAGCTGGACACAGTAGTTGTGACAAACACAAGTGTCAGCTGCCACACCCTGATTAGCACAGAACAGCAGGTTTAAGAACAGCACATTGGGGACAAATGCAGAAGTGACCAATACAAGAGAGATGTGTCATCAGTCAGGATTCCCATAATAAAAAAAAACAAAATAGATGTGTATTCCAGGCACATGATGGCTACACAGGAGATGTAGGATAGCTTGTCTCCTCACAGCAGGAGAACTAAGGGCCCCAGCTGTTCATATCCTGGCAGAGCACTGCAAGGAGAACAGCAAACCATTCAGGCAACACTGCTATAGAAAGTGGCTATGTCACCTTTGATTTATAGCAGCACCATTATTCCAGAAGCAACAGGCCTACTGGGAGTCTCAAATTTGCCTGGACATGATTGCACCAGAAAGACACTGGAACTGCCACACCACGAAGTTCTACTGGACCAAAATACAAGGCCTACAGTAGAAGTTAGAATACTATATTGGAAAAACCTTCAGGATAACTAGCTGCCCTAAACAAAATTGACTAAGGACTAAAGGATTGTCAACCTACAAACACACTATAGGATTATTTAGCCTAGAAAGGGCCTTTGGACATTGTCCAGTCCAAGCCTTTCCCGTAACTGGATTGCCTGGAACAAACTGCTTTTATGTGCCCTACTTTCTAAGGTTAACAATTCCATGACCAGCCTGGGCAACCTGCCCTAGGGTACACTGATTGTGAAGATTTTTCCCCCTTGTCATGATGATGTTCTGAAAAGCAACAAATCAAGCTAAGTTCTCATTGACTACTGCATACAAGAATAAACATGCCAACAATCAAGAAGTGCCCTCAGGATAGCATTTTCAAACATCTGAGCAGTAGTATTTTTCCATGCAGAGTATTTTACTCACATTTGTTTGCTACACATTTGGTACAGTAATGTAAATTAATCATCTTTAAGTGTTCATTCTGGGATAAACACTGGTAAGTAAAGACAAGTATTTTCTTCTGGCAATCTTCTATATCATGTTATACATCAGCTCCCTCATCCAGGACACTCCTTAGTGCAGAAATGGGATGTGACAACTACTTCTCAGGGACTCTCTCTGTACAGCACCAACACACATTTGTGTTGGGGACAGTGAATTCAGCTATCACCCCAGAGATTCCAAACCAGAAGAGGATTGCAAGATTGATTTTTACTTCTTAGTCACCAGAGAGGCAAGAGGGGAAGAGAACACAGGTCCCTGACAGGGGAGTGTGGAAAAACTGGGAGAAAACACAACAGGTAGCACCTGAACTCCAGAAGTTGTTGCTGAAAGGCTTTCCTTGCTTATGGTCCACATGTTCTAGAGACAATAAACTAAAAATTCACTTTGCTTGGACACAGACACCCAAGGCATAAGAACTACAGATTGACTACACAATGAGTTAGTTTGGGGACTTTAAATGTTCCAGTAATAACACAGCTTGCTCTAAGCTGTGGACAAGTTTATTTTGTTCTAGTTCAAGAGTAGTCTGGCTTTGACAGAAGTAGATAAGCTGCTTTCTGGAGAAGCCAAGTGATCCTTAGCAACTTTTCAGTGTAATTGAGTCTGGTTTTAACCTTTGAGTACTCCTTGAACAAGCATCTGAATGTTGTTGTAACTGCTGTGTTAGATAAACACAAAGCTTTTGAGTTAAACATTTTTCTGGCAACACAAACTTAGCATTGCTGCCTATTAAGTTGCCCTAAGTCCACTATGCTATGCAACTACAATAAAAAGATTATTTACAGCCAAGAGAAAAGATAGCAACTTTCTCCCTCCTGTCAGATACCGCATCTTTACCTGGTCATATTAAAGTAATAACTACCTTTTAGCTAAAATACTGACCAACTTGATTCAGTACAAGCTCATCATAGAGGTAAGTGGAAAGAATATTTAAATCCTTCCTTCTCTATCCCACCTCAACACCAGCCAATAGAAACTGCAAGGTCAGCCTTCATACACACTATTACCTAACTCGTAACTAAAGTATAATATTAAACAAAATCCATCCAATAGCATACAGATTTACAGTTTGATTGCATCTGAAGCTAGCCCAGCTCAATGGCCAAGATACTTGACTTTCCCTGCAGAGCTGTTGCAAGTGCCACTTGAATCTTTTAGAGTGTCAACACTACATGAACCCTGCGAATGCAGGGGTCTGCGCACAACACAACCACTACGTTGTATGCCCTCAGCAAAATCCCAGAATCTTCACACAAGGCATCTCTTCTTCAGTGGCAACAGAGGGAGCATGGCCCCCTCTAGCCCCAGAATAGCCAGGCAGTACAGAACAAGGCAAGGCTGAAACAGCGTGGCACAGGGTTGACATGGGCAGTATCAGCGCAGAAGTACCAGTGTTTACAAGACAATAGACTAATAGCACATCACTGGTTCAGAAAAGGGCATGGTGAGATTTTAAGAGCAATATTCTAATAAAACAACAAGAGAAGTCATTGGAGCCAACTGCTTGTTTACTTGCATTTCCACCTCTGCAGCCCAAGAAACAGTTGACACACCATGGTTCAAAGCTCACATCTAATAGTTCCTTGAGGTTAAAAAAAGTAATTAACACAAGTGGAAGCTTGCTCCTCAGTCATCTGAACAGGCAAGGATGAGTTTTCATCCCATTGTGTAGATTAAACAGCCTTGAGGCAGTCAAGACATTAATTCACCTATTCCTTACAAAAAAGGAAGTCTTGGGAAATCCAACCACTTCTCAAAAAAGTAGCAGTGTCTAGAAGATCTTGCTATTGCAGTTGCTTTTAAAACATTATTAAATTCCCTGCAGTTTAAGGGAATGTAAACTTAAAGCCAGAGTCTTAATACATCTGCTGAAGAGCCTGCTCTGAATAAGAGCCCAGACAAGTCACCTACTTCTCTGATAAGTATTCCCTGCTCTCCCATATTGCTCTTTACTTGCTGGGAAGTAAACTGTACCCAAACAAGATTTACCCTCCTCTGACAGGAAGAAAAGCAATCAAGTCAATGGCAGTCAGTCAATTTGTTTAATTTTAATCTGTCATTTTACCCTCAGGTTTAATGACACCATGTTGAACTTTGTGTGGTAAGTTTCATGGGCTGTAAAAAAACCCACCACACTTTCTGAAAGATTTGGGAGGGGCACTTCTGGTTATAGTTCATCCTGCTTCAAAACAGAGTGTTAGACAGAGCCCAGGTCAGAGCACAAACTTTTTCAGGTAGTCTTTCATCTTTAAGATATTAGAATTACTTGCTTCATCTACTTTAAAAGATAAGGATTAAGCCATTGGCTTGATAACTCCGGATTTTATTTTTATGCACAATAGGAGCTTTGTGGTGCTAGGGAAAGATGCTCTTTAGACCAAGAAATGAAGGTTACACCAACAGACAGATTGGCCACATGAAGCACAGCAAGATCTACAAATCAAACCATAGTACTTACTAAAAAGCTGGTTTGATTTAGACTTCTGAAGATCCGTACTTGGCCACAGGACTAATCAAGGCATGCAAGCCTCAATATAAGAAATCTAACCCTTGCCAACTATTTTAACCTTCCCTTGTCTTACCTTTGTAGACATCTTCTCCAGGTTAACTAAGGTCTCCCGCTGTAATGAAACCTGCACAATGTGGTGTCATTCTTGGCTGGTCCCTCGAAACTTAGCAGTTCAAGGCATTTGTTTATAAACAGCTTCATAAACTCCAAACTTAAGCATAAGTTTGTTATTTCTCCACCCTCTCTTCAGCCTAAAGTTAAACTGTTCAGAACATTGTTAACAAACAGAATTGCTTTACCTAATGCCAAGATTCAGACACTATTACTGAATAACTACATGTATTTCAAACCAGATTGCAGTTTTACATCCCTTTTTACTTCACCTGTATTAAGACTCCACAGTTGTACAGTCACTTAAAGAAAGGAAAAAGCACTTGTCACTTCACAAGGAAGTCATTTTGCTACAGCCCACACAAATACATAGAAAAAAAAAATGAGAAACTTCACTAAGTCTACCTGTTTTCCAGTAAATATTCTGTTAATAAAATAACAAAATCTTAGATCCCTCCAAAGGCTTGTAATTGGAATTGCTTCTAGTTCTTCCAATTCAGTTTGGGATTTAAAACTGAAAAAGCTCT